AAGCCCACCAATAGTGACCTCTGAGCACAGAGCCAGGAATAAGCCCTGAGCACAGCGGAGTGTGGTCCAAATGCCCCCCCAAAGAAAAATAAACAAAATATAGAATTTGTATATTTATTGGGAACTCTCTCTCTCTGTTTTTTTTGGGGGGGCAACCCCAGATATGCTCAGGGATTACTCCTAGCTCTGTGCTCAGGGATCATTCCTGGCAGTGCTCAGGGGACCATATGTGATGACAAGGGATCAAACCCAGGTGACCCACATACAAGGAAAATGCTCTACCTACTGTATTATTGCTCCAGCCCTTAACATTCGTTTCTTTTTATTTTTATGGCTTCTTGGGTCACACCCAGCGATGCACAGGGGTTACTCCTGGTTTTGCACTCAGAAATTACTCCTGACAGTGCTCAGGAGAACATACGGGATTCTGGGAATTGAACCCGGGTTGGCCACGTGCAAGGCAAACTCCCTACCTGCTGTACTATCACTCCAGCCCCTTGAAATTTATTTCTTAAATTCCTAACAACACCTATGACCTTTAGGGGAGAAAATTTTGGGCCATGTCTAGTGGTACTAGGGGCTACTTCTGGTCAGTGCTCAAGGATCACTCCAGTTAGTACCTATGGAACCTTGTAGTACAGGATCAAATCAAAGGCTCCTGCATGCAAAGCATATACTTCACCCCAAGGCTATCTTCCTGGCTCCCAAATATACATATCTATCTATCTATCTGGAGCGATAGCACAGCGGGTAGGGCGTTCGCCTTACAAGCGGCCAACATGGCCGACCCGAGTTCGATTCCTCCGCCCCTCTCGGAGAGCCCGGCAAGCTACCGAGAGTATTCGATATGCCAGACACAGTAACAACAAAGTCTCCAATGGAGACGTTACTGGGCCCGCTCGAGCAAATCGACGATCAACGGGAGGGCCTTTACCTTTACCTATCTATCTATCTATCTATCTATCTATCTATCTATCTATCTGTATATTTTTGGAAGAGGAGGCAGCGGGGCTATTCCTGTTTCTGTGCTCAGGAGACCATATGGAGTGGTGGGGATCAAACCAAGGTCAGCAGCATCCAAGGCAGGTCCCTTATCCTCTCTACTATCTCTCTGGCCCTATTTCTCTCTAATATCTCTTTTAGCAATACCTGGAAGAAGGGCAAAGTCACTCCAGGAGGGGCTTGGAGGCTAATGGTTCATTGCACACTTGAGGAAACTGAGCACGAAGAGATCAAGGCACTTGCCCACAGTCACAGAACTGGCAACAGTGGGACAAGGTCTAATCTTGGGCCTGTCCAGTTCCCAAGCTACATTTTCGCTCAATCTCTCTGCACTCTCATAAACAGTGAAGGCCGAAACTTGAAGGCTCTTCTACAAAGATCCAGCTAAACTGAAAGAAAATCATGGCTGGATGAGGCACTCCCTCTCCGTCATGCTTCCAAGCTACTTGCAGTCTCCAGTTTATCCTCCAGTTACGGTGCTGAGATCACCCAAGTCTGCTGCTCCCTAACCAAAGTCCTTGGGGTAATCCCTCAAGGCTACTCTGATAGCATCCTCAACTTTATTTATTTTTAATTTTAAAAAAGTTGTTAATGAATCACCGTGATATAGCTACAGACTATCTTACAAACTTCCATGATTGCGTTTCAGTCATACGATGATTGAGTACCCATCTCTCCACCACCAACGTGCCCAGTAATCTCCCATTCCCCTGCCTCTGTGGCAGGCACATCCCTTTTACTCTCTCTCTCTCCTTTTGGGTGTTACGGTTTGTAATACAGGTGGTAAGTGGCAGTCATTTTTGGTGTACAGTCTACTTTCAGCACGCATCTCCCATCCCGAGCAAGCCCTCCAAGCATCATTCCCTTAGTGGTCCCTTCTCCATCCCAGCTGCCTTTTCCCCCCAGCACGTGATGCCGGCTTCCAAGCCATGGAGTAATCCTCCTGGCCCTTACCTCTATTATCCTTGGGTGTTAGTCTCCCATACTATTACTTTGTATTCCACAAATAAGTGCAGTCATTCTATGTCTGTCCCTCTCTCTGTGACTCATTTCACTTAGCATGATATTCTTCATGTCGATCCACTTATACCATCCTCAACTTTTGGTGGTCACATACATGCCAAAGTTAAAAAAAAAATCATGCCAAGTATGACTTCGTAAAATAAAGGCTATGTGTGCCTATTTTTCATTTATTTATTTATTTATTTATTTTGCTTTTTGGGTCACAACAGCAATGCTCAGGGGTTACTCTGGTCATTGCTCTGCAATCAGGAATTACTCCTGGCAGTGCTTTGGGGACCATATGGGGTGCTGGGGATCGAATTGGGGTTGGCCGTGTGCAAGGCAAACACCTGCCCCACTGTACTATCACTCCAGCCTCAGCTATGTGTGTCTTAAGTAGTGAAATCACTTTTTGAATGAACCCTGTACCAGACCTCAGGATAGGAACCAGGTGGTGGCAAAGCCGCTTCCTATGCAGGAGAAAAGGTAGAGGCAAGTGCTGTCACCCTGTCGGCCCCTCATGCCCCTGGCCGCCCCTAAAAAGATCTAAGTTCATGCCAAGTGCACCTGGAGTTTTAGCTTATCCTCTCCAAAAGAAGTCAGAGGCCTTCAGGGTTGAAATCACTGCCTCTTCCCACACTGCACTTCCTCCCTCTGTTCTCTGTCCTAGTGTGGTATACCCCAGACTCAGGGCAATGCCCATCCAAACGGGCACTCTGTGGTGACGTGCGCCTGCTCCAATGCCTGTCCTTCATGTCTCTCTGGCCTTCCCCAACCTGCCCATGCCCATCATGGCTCCTTACCCGATTCGCAACAAGCCTTCCCCGAGGATGTCAGTGCTCTCCAGCCACCTTCAGGGGAGCTATGAGCTCCAGAAGAGCTGTGAGGAGACATGATCCATCTGGAAAATTCCTCCACTGTCTGTATGTCAATCTCACCTCCTGAAAAAACTCTTCCAGTCTTAGTTTTTGGGCCACACCTATTTGTGCTCAATGCTTACTCCTGGAATCACTTCTGGCAGCGCATGGGGACTATATGCAGTGCCAGGGATTGAACCCCAGTTGGCTGCATACAAGGCAAGTGTCTTCACCCCATACTATCTCTCTGGTCCCCCACATTTCCATTCTTGTTGTTGTGGTTTTAGCCACATCCAGTGAAGCTCAGAACTTACTCCTGGCTCTGCACTCAGGGATCACTCCTGGAAGGCTTGGGGACCATATAGGGTGCTGGGGATTAAATATCTGTCAGTCACATACAAGTGAAGTGCCTTATTGGCTGTCCCATCACTTCAGACCCCCCCAAATTTCAATTCTTACAAAGTCATCCAAAAACAGTCATTACAAAGCCATTCAATCTTCCTCTTGGATGTGGCCTTTGAAATCAGGGAGATACAAATTTAAACCCTGGCCCTGCTACTGAGTGGTTGTATCAAGTGGGCCAATCATTTGTCATTTTGAGCCTTTTCTCTTCTGCTATGAGAAGAAAATTATTCATGAAGATGATACTGTTACTGTGAATGAGTTCATAGATTGGGTTCCCTTCTCTCCTATCACAATGCTCACACAGCAGAACTACAATTAGTGATTCATAATTTTTTCATTATACTCCAGCATCATTCGCAGAAATGAATTCCTATGAGATAGGTTGTTCCTGTAGAAGTTAAAAAAGAACTTTAACTCTGCTGCTTGTCTCTCCTAGTTCTGCTGAAGACTGTAATTTCAAGGTTTTTCAAAAGTCTAAGGGGCTCAGGAGATGGCTCAAAGAGCCCTGGATTTGATTCCAGGCTCTGCAGAGTACCCCAAGACCACCAGATGAGACCTCAACAACCTCCACCTGCTGAAAAAAACTGTTTAGGGCCCAGGTGATAACTTAGTGGCTCAGAGTACCTATCTTGAATGTTTAAGGCTGCATGTTTGTTCCATCCCTGGTGCTACCACATTCACTAAGCATATTCCAAACGGCTTGGCTATTAATGCCTGGCAGTCCTACTATTTACCATCTCTGGAGCTAAAGTGTAAGGTGTGTACAATCATCACTGAAGGGTCCGACCCTGAGAAACACCAGAACTAAAAGATTCATGAAGGGCTTCTGAAGAGACAGTATAGGAGAGAAGGCATTTGCCTTGCATGTGGCCACTATGGCATGGTTCAATCTAAGCACTGCCAGGGGTCACTCCTGAGCACATAAGCACACAGCCAGGAATATTCCTGAACAACACAGGTTTTGTGGGTTTTTTTTTTAAGGGTAAGAGACAGTACAACATGTAAGGCACTTAATTTGCACATGGCCAGCCACGATTCGATCCCTGGTGTCCCATATTACGGTCTCCCAAGCACTGCCAGGAGTAACCTCTGAGCATCAGCAGATGTGGCCCCCCAACAAAAATAAGCAAACAAAAAAATTAAAGGAGGTGAGAACCTCACCACTAGCGAGTATGATCCCTGGTGGTCAGCGTAACCAGGATGTGCCTGGTAACCAGGAAGCACCACAGCTAAGTGGGTGAGTTCTGCAACCAGAGAAGTGAGCCCTGGTGAACACCCCAACCGATAAGTGTGTGAGCATCAATCTGACATGTGCAAGACCTCTGATCATCACAACAACAACGAATGGAAGGGGAGGGAGAAGACAGTTTGGTGGGACAGGAACCAAGCATTCGGGGGAAATCATGCTCAAGAAAGCAATGCAAGAGCCAACCACTTTCCGATCCAAACAGCTAATGGGCAGCTTTAATGGAATTCACAATGGTTCGGAATGAGGAAATAGGCAAACATCCCAGGCTGTTTTGAAAGCACTTGGCTTAAAGATGGAGAATGTTTTTCCGGGGGGAACCTTGTCTGTCTTTCCCAGCTAGAAGAAATCAATGAGCCCACATTACTGGAATACCAGGAAGAAGCAAGGTCTAAAGGTCTGGGAGACTGGAAAGCAAAGCTTTTCACACAGCCCCGTGAGCACCAAGTTGGAGCTGAGCTGCTCGCCCACTCAGCTGCCTGGAGTACCTGTGAAAACTCGCTGCTCTCTCGCTGAGGACGCTTTCCTGCTGGTGCCAGTGCCAGAGCATTCTCCATGTCTGGAAGGCGGCAGGCAGGGCTCTCTGCTGAAAATGACTGTCTGCTCGGCTCCGCAGCACCTAGAGTGAAATAATCAATGATTTATTCGTAGCTTACATGGTTTTTTGGGTGTTTTTTTTTTTTTTTTAATTAGTGAAGCACCATGAGGTACAGTTGTAGATTTACAAATCTTTGTGCTTGAGTTTCGGTCATACAATGATCAAATACCCATCCCTCCACCAGTGCCCATTTCCCCCCACCCCCTTACATGGTTTTTTTAAAACGACCTTTCAACATCACCTTCTTGAGAGAAAACTGCTTCCCCCAGAAAACTGGGAAAAGTATTAAAGCCATTATTTTTCTTTTCTTCTTTAAAACCATTATTTTTCTGGAGTCAGAGTGAGTATATAGTGGGTGCTCGTCTTTTATTTATTTATTTATTTATTGCTTTTTGGGTCATACCCAGAGATGCTCAGTGGTTACTTCTGGCTCTGCAATCAGGAATTACTCCTGGCAGTGCTTGGGGGACCATATGGGATGCCAGGAATCAAACCCAAGTTGGCCACATACAAGACAAACATCCTACTTGTTTTACTATCGCTCCAGCCCTGGGTGTTTGCCTTATATGTATGGTTGATCCAGGTTTGATCCCTAGTACTCTTATAGTCCCCTGAGCATAGAGTAAGGAATAAACAGCTGGGTGTGGACCCCCCACCAAAAAATTATTTTTCTGGGATTTTTTTGGGGGGGTCACACCCAGCAATGCTCAGAGGTTACTCCTGGCCCTGCACTCAGGAATTACTCCTGGCAGTGCTTGGGGGTCCATATGGAATGCTGGGGATTGAATCTGGGTCAGACATGTGCAAGGCAAATGCCCTTCCCCTGGACTATCATTCCGGCCCCCCAAAATTATTTTTCATCTTTACTAAAATGATGTTCACTTTAATTAAAAGTGAGTTAAGCACCTTCATAGTTTTCAATGTATGTGTGTGTGTGTTGTGTATAAACACATTTAAAATTTATTTCCCATGACCCAGATATGTACATACCCCTGGTCTGTTTCACTGTGTGTTAGCATTTAATGTGTTACATGAACTTTACTAATCTGGGTCCAGAGAGAGGAGAGTGGGTAAGGGACTTGCCTTGCATGTGGCTGACCCAGATTTGATTCAATCACAGGCATCCCATGCAGTCCCGTGAACCCCGAAAGGAGTGAACCCTGAGCTCAGAGCTAAGAGTAAACTCTGAGCACTGCCAGGTGTGGCAGAACCTTCCACAGAAAGAAACAAAACAGATAAAAATAATTCTTTAAAAAATGTACTAATTCTCTGTTGTGTGATATTGTTCTTACCCTGTATCTCTCAGCTTTGTATCTAGTATTCGTCATATAGTCTTTAATTTTAAAATATCATTTTATATTTATTTTATTTAGGAGGATTTGGACCACAGTGGTGCACAGGGGCTATTCCTGGCTCTGTGCCCAGGAGTGATCCCTGGTTGTACTTGGGGACAACATGTGATGCCAGGGATAGAATTGGGGCTGGCTGTGTGCAAAGCAAGTGCCTTCCCATCTCTCTGGCCCCCAATTTTTATATAATTATACTAGGTTATTCCTTTCATCATTTTGGGGGAGTAGGGCTCACACCCACTGGTGTGAAGACTGGGTCCCACACAGGTCCCAGCAACCTCCATACTTCCCATACTGAATGGACAGAAGGAAGACAACAAGTGACAAAAGAACTTATCTTACCTCCATAATACAAAACTTTGATGGTTTCTCAAAGCAAGAATATGGCAGTTCTTAATTCACCCTACTTTGGTTTGTGGGCCACTCCTGGCAGTGTCTGGCGGCCCGTGTGGTGCCAAGGATCCAGCCCCAGCCCCAGCCCCATGTGCGGTAGTTCTTAAAACATGACTGCCAATTTTTGGAACTTCCTTCCTTGACAAGTGGTTTATGTCTCCTCCCTTAAATCTGGGGAGGACAGTGACTGGTCGACTGGCAGAGTACATTGAGAGTGACTATGTGACTGCTGAGGACAGGTCAGGAAGCATTCCGTTTTGCTCCCCAGAACAGTCCCCTTTGGGCCTTAAGCTGAGCAGATACAGGAAGCCTGACTCCCCTGAGGCCACCGTGCCATCGGACACCCTTGCCATGTAGGTGCTCTCGCTGGTAGATCCGAGGGAGCCTCGTCTACTAGTCTTCCAGTCTAAGAACCAGACATACAATTATAAAATCTTCTAGATTATTTCTGCCCCCTTCCATAAGAACCTTCCAAGTGGGGGGCCAGAGTGGTAGTACGGTGGGAAAGGTGTCTGCCTTGCACCTGGTCTACCCATATGGTCCCCAAGCTCTGCCAGGAGTGATCCCTGAGTGCAGAGCCAAGAATAAGTCCTGAGCATTTATTTAAGCTGGCTGTGGTCAAAAAAAAAAAAAAAAAAAAACACAGGAGAAGAATCTTCCAAGTGGCCAGAAAGATCGAACAGGAGTTAGATAGAAGGCTTTTGTACTTCATGTGGATGACCCCAGTTTGACCCCTGTCATGATATGGTCCCAGCTAGAAATGACCCCTGGGCAGAGCTGGGAGTAGCCAGCTCTGTGGCTACTTAGGACAGCCCCTAAGCACTACTAGGTATGACTCTCTCTTGTTCCTTAAAAAAACAGTCTTCCAAACTGAGGCCCAAATAATCACGAAGCAGTGCCAAGACATCCCTGTCATGGTCTTTTACTTTTAAGTTTATATTTGCATGGCCTAGGTAACATGCTGACAACTTGTGTTACTGATGTACAAAGTTACTGTTCCCCTCTACCACCAAAGTGCCCAATCATGGGCCTGAGCGATAGCATAGCGGGTAGGGCGTCTGCCTTGCACGCAGCCGACCTGGGTTCAATCACCAGCATCCCATATGGTCACCCAAGCACCACCAGGAGTAATTTCTGAGTGCAGAGCCAGGGATGACCCCTAAGCATCGCTGGGTGTGACCCAAAAAGCAAAAAAAAAAAAAAGTGCCCAATCAAAAAAACACAATTTGGAGGGTGCTATACGTGGTGACGGTCAGAAGCTATGCTAAGTTAGTGTGAGATGAACCACGAGGTATTGGGATTGAACCTGGGTCTCCTGCAAGTGACACCCATACTCCAGCCCACTAAGAGATCTCACCAGCTCAGGACTCAGTATGTGACCTTAAGCATAGAAGGTGGTGTGAGCCCCACATCTGACCTCTGCTGTCTCTACGGGCCCACATTCACATCTTTGACCCTCTGCTCGCCCATCCAACCTCCTGGCTGCTCTCTCGGGGGCCTTTCCAGGTCCAGAAGCTGATTCTCCTCCCTCCCACCCAGACCCCAGCAGCTCCCATGGCCGGCCTCTGCTGTCCTATAGGCCCACATCCATAGCTCGGGCTCTCGGCCTGCTCGGTCAGCCTCCACCAACACCCAGGCGCTGAACCCATCATTCCGCTCAATACCGCAGACGCGCACACGCAGCCAGGCAGTAGCTCTGCTCGCCCACTGCAATCACACAGCAAGGTTTCCATCTCTGGTCCCTGTGTGAGGACCAGAGGGAAGAACAAAAGATACAAAGAGGGCCTGAGCCATAGCAAAGTGGGTAGGGCATTTGCCTTGCACGTGGCCAACCCAGGTTCAATCCCCAACATCCCATATGGCACCCCGAGCACCACCAGGAATAATTCCTGAGTGCAGAGCCAGGAGTAACCCCTGAGCATCGCTGGGTGTGAGCCAAAAAGAAAAAAGGAAAAAAAAGATAAAAAGAAAGCAAGGTAGGTCTGCTTATTCCTAGCTTGCTAAAGGCCGTAGGCTCTCTAATAATAAACTAAAGTTTTATTTATTTTTGAGTATTCTGTGTCTATTCAGGTGACTTTTTTACAACTATAGAAATTTTCCTTTTACTTGTTAATACAGATTATGTAAGCATTATCTATAACAATATTTTTAACATAAAACCAATATTAATTTTGTAGGATAAAACATACTTTTATAGGCGTACTCAGATTTTCCTTTAAGTTTGAAAAAACTCTCCTTTTCTTACTCTTACTAAATTGTGTATTTGTAGCACTTATCGACTTCACATAAATTAAGAAACGTATTAGCAGGGGCAAGAGTGACAGTATAGCAATTTTTGCCTTACAGGCAGCTAAACTGGGTTCGATTCCCATATGGTCCCCCAAGCACCACCAGGCGTGTAGAGAGAGTAGTAATCCCTGAGCACCATCAGGTGTGGCCCCAAAACACAAACACAACAAGAAAGAAATTATTAGATTAGGGGACAAAGTATACTGGGTAGGGCACTTGCCTTGAACACAGCTGACCACTTACGGGCATTTTTTCTCTCGTTGGTTTTTGGTTTGGGGGTCTGGAGGACTGTGCGGTGCCAGGGATGGAATTCAGGCTTCCCACACACCAAGCATGTGCTCCAGCCCTTGGAGCCATCGCTCTGGCCCTTATCCTCAAATGCAAACAAAACAGAAGCAACAGGATAATGACGCCCTGTTGTTCATCATGCACCTTCAATGCTAAGCAAAATAGCTGCCATACTTTATGTATTACTTTTTAAAAAGAAAGTAACCTACAGCATGCATTATTTTATTTTTCCTAAGAGAGCAAGAATTGGTATTTGTTGATGCCACGAGGTAGAACTCACTGTCGGCTAAATACTTTGTAAGAATCAGAACTCAACTGAGATTACTATTTTCTACACCTAGGAGACCTTCAAAAGCAAGATGATGGGGGCCAGAGAGACAGTACAGCAGGTAAGGCACTTGCCTTGCATGTGGCAGACCCAGATTTGATCCCCGATGCTCTATGTGATCCCTCAAGCACCGCTAGGTGGTCAGAGCCTAGAGTAAACCCTGACCACCACTGAGTATGGCCCCCCAAAACAAAACAAAAAGCAACCAGTGCTGGAACAGTGTGTGAAGAACAATGATCCTGGGTCTCTGGCAATGCTCGGTCACCATACCAAGGGTCTCTCTCTCTCTCTCTCTCCTCTCTCTCTCTCTCTCTGCCTCTCTGCCTCTCTCTTCCCCCCTCCCTCCCACTTCTCCATCTCTTCCCTCTCTCTACTCCCCCCACTCCCAGAAGGGAATGGCTAAGAGACTTTGACTCTTTTCCACCTTGAATAAATACAAGCTTTCAACCCTTGCTCTCACATCCTCTGTCCAGAAGACTTCTGGAACTTTGTTGCTGGCATTAAATGAACTTAGGAGGCAAAGTGGCAATATCCTTTCAAAACAATTACATAACCCGAAGGACTTTCAATAATGCAGCTCTGGGAGCATTTCTAGGAGTAAAGGGCAGGGTGACAAAAACCAAGTCCCAGAATCTAAGAACTAAGATGATGCTGGAGGGAAACTCTGAAGCAACCAACGGTTCGTTCCTCTGTCATTCATTTCATTTATCTAAATACCTACCCTATGCCAACACTGAGCAGGGTGCGGCAGAAGGAACAGGCTGTAAACTCGAGGATCTCCCAGCGGTGGGGGAGGCACTAGTAGATGAATCCTGAGCTGAAGCTCCATGGGGGGCAGGGGGGGATTTGAGGAGAAATAGATAATACCCGAGAAGCCAAGGGACCAGGACAAGCAGGAGAGCACAGAGGACTCAGGGGAAACCAGCAGCTTAACTGACCAGAGTAAAGCTATGAAGAAACAGAGTGCTTAACAGGAAACGGTCCCAGGATCCCAAAGGAGTCGTAGTCCTAAGGAGAACGTTTGAATTCTCTCCCCAAGTTTTGAGAAACCAGCCCAAATCCTGAGAGTCACGGGTCAGCCTCTAGCAGCAGATGGAGGGAGGTGGCAGGGAGGGCCACAGGGAAATAACTAGGAAGAGGAGGCAGGTTTGAGTCTCGCCACACTGGCCCGGGGCAGGCATGGTGCCACATACACTGCAATGCCCCTGCATAGGTCATCCGTGAAACACACACCTCCCTGAATTTGGACTCAAAATCTTTTTTCAGTCCACCATTCCACACAGCTACTCCAGTCATCAGAGCTTGCCTCTAAGACTGCACGTCCTGGCCCCAAGTTTGAAATGACAAACCCAGTGCAAGTAGGAACTCCGTCTGACTTGTACACTCAGTGCTCAGGGAGGTGTCTGTGGCATAGCTGCTACTTGGTCTTTTTTTTTCTTTTTGGGTCACACCAGGCGATGCTCAGGGGTTACTCCTGGCTCTGCACTCAGGAATTCCTCCTAGCGGTGCTCAGGGGACCATATGGGATGCTGGGAATCAAATCCGGGTCGACCCCGTGCAAGGCAAACACTCTACCTGCTGTGCTATCACTCCAACCCCTTGCTCGTTCTTTCTTTAATGGAACTAAATCCTTCTTTCTCTCTGTTGCTCTTAAATGCTGAGCCACACTTGGCTGTGCTCCGGATGTACTCCTGGCTCTGTGCTCAGGGATCACTCCCAGCAGTGCTCTAGGGACCATATTGCAGCACCCTGGATTGAACCGGGGTTAGCCTCGTGCAAGGCAAAAGTCTTAGCCCCTGTACTATCTCTCCAGCCCTAAATCCTTCTTTCTCGGCCTGCCCTTACTGATTTGTTAGCCTGACTTCCACCTTTTCCTATTTCCTACAGGTAGCCGGGTCTCAAATGTTCAGCACTGGGATACAGCACACATGCTCTTTCCCAACATTTCCTGAGGGTTTCAGGCAGCGGCAGGAAGGCTAATAAAAGAAACATATTGGGAGTGAAGAGGGTAAGAGAGTGGCTAAGTCCCTGGGCTCATCAGAGGGCACTTTCACCACAGACAGAGGAATGAGGGAATAAAGTAGACATTCGGGCATGACCAGAAGACCTTGACATCTGTGGAATACATATCCGCTGGAATGTGGGCTCAAAGGAAATACCTTTGAGCTCTGTACAGCACCCTGTCTTCCCAACGGAAACACAAAAACCTCTTGGCATTTCCAAGAATGTTTCCAAAGCAGGTGGAACCAAGGACGTGAGCAGCAGAGCTCTCTGCTATAAAATACCTGTTTGTATCTCTTCTTCTGAGCATACTGTAACCACGATTGGATACACTTGTGCAGCAATGTTATTCTGAAATAAAACACAGAACACCAAGGTACAAAGCATTCCACCTCAGGTTAAGGATTCTTTCTCCCTCCCTCTCTTCCTCTCTCCTTCCCTCCCATCTCCCTCCTCCCTTCCTTTCTCGTTGTTTTATTTGGGGGCCACACCCAGTATACTCTGGGGTTCCTCCTGGCTCTGTACTCAGGAATTACTCCTGGCAGTGCTCAAGAAACCATATGGGATGCTGGGGATTGCACTCAGATGGGTCACGTGCAAGGCAAGTGTTCTATTGTGCTGCACGATTGATCTGGACCAGTTTTAGACTTTTTAAACTTTGTTTTGGTTCTATGGGAGATAAATCTGGAAATAGTTACATTTTTTAGAGAACCCTTGGGGTTCATTAGTTCCACTCTAGGAGAAAGAAGAAACTGATATCCAGAACTGGTGGGATAATACAGTGGTGAGGGCATTTGCCTTGCATGCGGCGGACCTGGGTTTGATCCCCAGCATCCCATATAGAACCTAGAGCACTGCCGGTTGTAACCCTAAATGTTGCCAGATGTGACCCCCCAAAAAAAAATTAAAAAGCAGAACCTGATATCCAGTAAGTATCTGTCAATCTTTAATTTTGGACTACTGGCTTGCCTACAAAAATTTTTAAAAAAAGGAAAAAACTGGGGGGCTGGGGGTGTTGGCTACAACCACTGGTGTTCAGGTCTTACTCCTGGCTCTGCTATCAGAGATCATTACTGGGGTTGCTTGGGGAACCATATGGGGAGCTGGGAATGAATCCTGGTTGGCTGCAGGCAAGACAAGCACCCTACCCACTGTACTATCACTTTGCTCCCACGAATGGTTATGTACAAAAAGTAACACTAAGAGGTCAAAGGGAGGGCCAGGTAGCTTTTATTTTATTTATTTATTTATTTTGCTTTTTGGGTCACACCCGGCAATGCACAGGGGTTATTCCTGGCTCTGCACTCAGGAATTAATCCTGAAGGTGCTCAGGGGACCATATGGGATGCTGGGAATCGAACTCAGGTTGGCCGCGTGCAAGGCAAACGCCCTACCCGCTGTGCTATTGCTTCAGCCCCAGCTTTAATTTTCATTCATATTTTCTTCCCTATAAGCTCTGCGCTTTCGTCATAGGCATGAGGTACTTGCATATACTCATTCTGGTTTGGGGCCACACCCTGCAGTGCTCTGGTGCTACTTGCAGTTGGTGCTCAGGAGACACTCCAGGCAGTACTCAAGGGAGGCACCAAGGATTGACCCTGGACCTCCTACATGCCAAGCATATGCTCCAGTCCACTGAGCTACCGCTCCATCTGTATTTTGACTCGGTGATTTAATTCTAAAAAATTGAAGACATGCTTTCTGTACCTTTCAAGAACAAGCCACAGATACCCACTGTTCAGACTTGTAACACCATCAAGTGCATAAAACCTAAGGTATGAACATCATTAATGCCCAAAGGACTGAAAGAAGGAGCTGACAGCCACATACTCTGACTGGCCCCACGACCTTTCTTCTGTTCAACGTCCTCCCCTTCTGTCTCCCACCTCATCATCCAAAAGAAAAACACAAGTTCAGGGGGCCAGAGTGATAGTACGGTGGCTAGGGCGTCTGCCTTGCAGATTGAACCCAGGCCAATCTGGGTTCAATCCCTAGCATCCCATAAGGTCCCCCAAGCACCACTAGGAGTAATTCCCGAGTGCAGAGCCAGGAGTAACCCCTGAGCACTGCTGTATGTGGCCCCAAAACAAAACAAAACAAAAATACCCACAAGTTCAGGAACCACTGTCTTAAAGCAGGACTTTGCAAACGTGCCACAGTGACACATAAGGGTAAGTCATCGCTCCTGGAGAGGAGCAAGTCAGTCACAATGTGTGTCTCAGGGCCCGGGGCCAAAGCCAGATTTCCTACCTGTAGTGGTCCTTGGCAGCACTCAATAAGGAAAGCTGCCCTCTCTCCTCCTTCTGCTCAATTCGAGATTGCCAGAGGTTCCAGAAACTACGCAGCAGCTGAAGCAAAACAGGAAAGAAATGAAAAGTTCATTAAACCAGAAGGCAAAACTATTTATCTGTTAATTAGTAAATCTATTACTGGATGTGGCCCAGAGACCAAAAAAGAAAAAAAAATCCTACCTGAGTTCCGTAAAACACAATTGTTTTTTTTTACTGCAGACCAAAGACGATATCATTGTTATTTCATTTATTTGTTTATTTTGGTTTTAGAGGCCACATCCAGTGACACTCAGGGCATAATACTGGCTCTGCACTCAGGAACTATTTCTTGGCAGTGCTCAGGGAACCATATGGGTACCAGGGATCAAATCCAGGTCAAGAGCCCTACCCTATGCTGTACTATCTCTCCAGCTCCAATGTTATTTTTAAAAAGTGGTTTTAATAGTTTAAAATTAACTGACCCTACCACCTACCAATAGCAATTAACCTTCAGGGGCCAGAGCAATAGTACAGCACAGAGGGCACTTGCCTCTCACACTTCTAAACCAGGTTTGATCCCTGCCATCCATATGGTCCCCTGCCCTCCACACCAGGAATAATCCCTTAGTTCAGAGCTAGAAATAAGTCCTAAGCACCACCTGATACGGGCTCCCCTCCCCCCCACCAAACGCTTAACTTCAGTCTAATCAAGCCCTTGGAACTATGTACTTATTTTTCGGAACTTCACTGATACTGGAAAGTTACATGATATCAAAAGGAAACAGACCAATGAAGACAGGACCACTGCACAAAGTAACTGGACTTCTCTTTCAATGTCATTTAAAACTGAAGTATACATTATGCTAACTGAAAATAATCCAGTCACAGACTGCAAATACTGTGCAAATGAGAAAACGAGGGAGAGAGAAAGTGGAGAGTTGATTCTCGGGGGCTGGAGGTAGAGAGAACAGCAGTTTAATGAATGTACAGTTTTGGTCTTGCGTGACAGAACTGACAGCGACAGTGTGATGACGCACAATAATGTCAACATACTTAAGACTACTGGACTCTGAACTTAATTTTGGTTATGATGATGCCTTTTATGAGTACTTGACCGCAACTGTAAGTATGAAGATAAACAAAAAAGAACAGAACTGTGTGTGGGCAGAGGAGATGACTCTGAAGAACCTCAAAGACATAACTGTATGTTGCAAGTAACACTTCACTGACTTCTGGTCTGAAAAAAAACAACTGCTACAAAAATATGTTGTGGGCAACTATGGAAATTAAATATGGATGGGGCACTGGGGAATATTAAGGATTCACTGCTCATTTTGTTAGGGATGGCAATGACACTGTTCTAAGAGGAAGTTGTTGGAGGGTACATATTGGGATGTTAACATGGAAGCGTCACGTCTGAGTTATTTCAAAACAATTCACCTAAAAATGAAGCAAGCACTAACTGTTAAAGCTTGATACGAGTCTATAGGTATTTAGATGAGTATCATCCTGTTCCTTTTTTTCATTTTTGTTTTCTGAGTCACATCTGGTGGGTGCTCAGGGCTTACTCCTGGCTCTGTGTTCAGTGATCACTCCTGGTGGTGCTTTGGGAACAATAAGTGATGCTGGGAATCAAACCTGGGTCTGTCACCAGGCTAATGCCCCACTGGCTGTACAATCTCTCTGGTCTATCATCCTTTCTTGATTTTTTTTGTTTTTTTGGGGGGTCATACCTAACAGTACCTGGGGGCTGCTCCTGGTGGTGCAGTGCTGGCCGGGGATCCTGCATGCAGAGCATGAGGTCATGAGCTGACCCTCACCCTGTTCATTTTTTTGGTCAGAAATAGCCCCTACCAACCCAACTGTGGGCAGGGGCTCCTGGTTCTAGATGTAGGAAAATCCATGGCAGTGTTTGGGGGATGGTGATGTTGTGACAGGGATTTGAACCAGGGTCTACCACATGCCAGGGAAGTGCCTTATCTCCTGTACTATCTCTCTGACCCACTCCCCATCTATCCTTTATTGTATGTCCTTTTCTGTACATTTGAACATTTTCATTATTAAACACAACATAACCAAGCTCCTACATGTAGATGTAGAATTTTATAATGTTTATTCCTTGACCTCAGGTTGTTATTTTTTAAAAAAACAAACAAATAAACAAACACTAATTGACATATATTGCAAACACAACCAAAACTTCCAATATTGCAGGCTCAAAGTACATTCCACAGGTCAGGGTTGGAATCCAGTTTGAATCCAGAATTCAATAGTCTTAGCAAACATATTTATCTTTTTTTGGCGAGGGGCATATCAGGCGATACTCAGGGGATTACTCCTAGCTCTGCACTCAGGGATCACTCCTGGGAATACTCAGGAAATCATGTGGGATGCTGGGGATTGAACCCGGGTCGGCCACAAGCAAGGCAAGCACTCTACTCGCTGTATTATCACTCTGGTCCCCAAATATTTATTTTTTTAAATGGAACTAAACAGGAGTTTCTCTACTAATTGAAGAAAATAGGAACAAAGGTTTCAGCGTCTAAGGGTCTGGATAAGTTTCTCAACATTCGGGTTAAATAAGAATGGCTGGGGCTGGAGAGAGAGTATAGGCACCTGTACTGCACATGGCAGGCATGGTTCAATCCCCAGCGCTACACCTGGTCCCTTGAGCACCACAAACAGTAATCCCTGAGTTCAGAGTCTAAAGTAAGCCCTGAGCACAGCCAGGTGTGGTCCAACCCCCCCATCCCCCAAAACAGCAACAAAAGAATGGTCATCAGAAGAGGTGCCTTGCAAGAGGTGCCCCTCACCGTGCTGTCCCGCTGCTGGTGAGCCAGATTCCTTCTTATACGTTGGTGACGAGCATAAACCACATTATCTTTTAAGGCTTGAAAGCAAAAGTGCTGAGGAGAAAAAAAAAAAAAAGAAAAGGACCAGCTGTTATTGATCAGTCTAGTGGAAAAAAACAAACTAGACAATGGCAGACAATGTCCCCTCAGGAGGCAGGCGGCTGTTCATAGCCTCTCCCATGCCCAGGATGTTTCTCTGCTTTGGGTTCAGCGAGGAGTTTGAACCAGCCGGTGCTGAACCACTCCTTGCTGGCCACGGATATCTTGTAGGGACAAACGCTGCTCTCTCCCACCTCTGTGAGTGGGAGATCTCTCACGCAGTGGACACCACCACCAACTCAGGATAAGACATTAACTTGGCCTGTATGGAACAAGACTTTTTTCCGGTGCTTGTGTGTGTGTGTGTGTGTGTGTGTGTGTGTGTGTGTGTGTGTCATTAGGTCCTTCATGAGTGGGGGTGGGATTGAAGGTCAGAAAAGGACTCTTTGGGGCTGGAGCAATAGCACAGTGCGTAGGGCTTTTGCTGCCTTGCACACGGCCGACGTGGATTTGATTCCCAGCATCCCATATGGTCCCCTGAGCACCGCCAGGAGTAATTCCTGAGTGCATGAACCAGGAGTAACCCCTATGTATTGCTGGGTGTGACCCAAAAAGAAAAAAAAAAAGGACTCTTTAAGTGTCTCAAGTTATGGGTAGCTTCTTTGGCCCATTGTAATCAGGAGTGGCACACATGTGTGTCACACGAGTGTGATTTACATCTGCCTGTCTCTAGCTCTATCAGTAATGCCTCACATATAACATAAGCCAAGTTTACTCCTTTATTATGCCCTGGGCTTGAGTTTCCTGAGACTGAAGAGAGACCAGAGATTTCCATACTGTGCTCTGTAGGACCCCAAAGCCTCCTAAAAGTGTCTAAAGACCACCGTGTATGGCAAGGACAAAGGAGAACTGGCACTGGGACAGGGACTTTGCACTTGCCTTTAACCCAGTTCACATTCTCAGCCTCTTTATTCGAATTGGAGGGGGGGCAAGCAGAAAATGCAGATTATCTCTGAGGTTCCTTTCAGCTGCAACCCCTCTGACCCCCGCACCGGTACTGAGAGCAAGTGAGAATAAGCCAGTCCCAATTAGAGTGGGTCCAACCTACCCACTACCCACCTAACTTGAGGCACTTAAAAAGCATGACATGGGTCCAGGTCCCCCCGAGGTGGATGCCTGGGAAAGGCCCCCAGCTTACCAGCAAGCTGCGCCGATGGTGTTCTTCTGCCACCTGGCCTTGGGCAGCTTCTTCTGCACACAGCAGCCCGTCTGCCAGAGAATTAAGGACTCTCTTCTCAACATGGACCCCACCCCCAGCCCCCAGCATGGTGCATACCTAGGGAGGCTTGTCAGAAGGCCGAATGGGCAGTTGGCCACTGGCTTCCCCTGGTGCCCCAGGGGCGTATGGACAAAGGGAGCCCATGTCGCTTAGACCACAGCTGGCCTCACTTTGCTCCCTGTGTAGCACAACTGGTCCTGTTGTTCATCGATTTGCTCGAGCGGGCACCAGTAATGTCTCCATTGTGAGACTTCTTGTTACTGTTTTTGGCATATTGAATATGCCACAGAGAGCTTGCCAGGCTCTGCCGTGTGGGCAGGATATTCTAGGTAGTTTGCCGGGTTCTCCGAGAGGGACGGAGGAATCGAACCCAGGTCGGCTGCGTGCAAGGCAAACGCCCTACCCACTGTGCTATCACTCCAGTCCAACTGGTAAGAAGAAAAAAAAAGTTGAGACCCAATGCCACCAATAATCAGTAAACATTTAAAAATTACCTTAACTTTTCTATTTTTGTGGCTGGGAGAGTCACACTTAGCCATGCTTGGGGCTACTCCCTGCATCACTGAGAGGTTGATGCAGGGCTGGGGATCAAACCTGGGGGTCCCACATGCAAAACATATGGTCCTTGGAGCCTGAGAGATAGTACAGTGGCAGATAGCATGCAGCAGAGCTGGGTTCATTCCTTGGCACCGTATACAGTCCCCTGGTCCCTGCTAAGAATGATCCCTGAGCACAGAATATGCTTAAAGAGGGGCTGGAGCGATAGCACAGCGAGTGGGGCATTTGCCTTGCACGCAGCCAACATGGCCGACACAGGTTCGAGTCCCAGCATCCTATATGGTCCCCCGAGCACCGCCAGGAGTGATTCCTTGGTGCATGAGCCAGGAGTAACCCCTGAGCATTGCTGGGTGTGACCCAAAAAGCAAAAAAAAAGAAAAAAGAAAAAAGAATATGCTTAAAGAGTCAGCCTTGAGCCCTGCTGGGTGTGGATCAAAAAGCAAAACAAAACCAAAAAAAAAAAGAAATCCATATGTGCTCTAGCCCTTTGTGGCCCCTCAAAACTACACTGTTCAGGGCCAGAGCAATAGTACAGTCTTGCATGAAGCCCACTTGGATGTGATCCCTGGCATCCCATATGATCCCCTGAGCAACACCAAGAGTTAATACCTGAGTGCAGAGCCCCCAAACAAATACAAACAAAAACCTCCCTACCCACTATACTATCTGCTGCCCCCTGCAATCATATCTTTAGAAGCAGAGCCCATTCTCTTTCTCTTTGTATTTTCTTTCTTTGGCAACACAATCTGATCATACGTTTGAGCTAAAAATGCTGCAAGTTATTTTCAAACTTTTTCTCTGCCCACTTCTTCCAACTCAGTTGCCAAGTCCATCTGTTCTCCCAAATCTTTCCCGTTCTCCATCCCTGCCCCCAACATCCTCTAACCTTCATTTGTCTCGTCACTCACTGATCTCACTGAAAAGAGACTCTCCAAACCGGTCTGGCCTCTGTATCACATAACTCATCTTCCTACTAGTTTCCCTCTTATCATCTAGATTTATCCTTTCTGTTTTTGGCTTGCTTTTCACTTGGGAGCTACACCTAGTGGTGCTCATAGGTTACTCCTGCTGCTGTGCTCAGAACAAGCTCTGCAGTGCTCAGGGGAGCATGTGAGGCCCACGCTCCAAGCCAGGGCTGCCACACAGAAAGCACATGTTCCAGCTTTCACCGTTGGCACCTGGCCCCAGGTGAATCCTTTCTTCGCATCACCTCTCTTCATAAAGCCCGATTAGCGCTCCCGGGTGCCTTGGGATAAAGTCCCAACTCCTGACAGCTTCAACCAAGCTCATCCCAAACTCGTCGCCCCATCACTACCCTGCCACCATCTGTACTCCTACAACTCACTACAGATCCTCTCACCATCCCTGGATGCTTTTCCTGTCACTCCTCCAGCCAGAAACACCCTCTCAACTCCTCTTCCTTCCGGAAGGACTTGCCAACCCCTAAGACTTGCATTCAATTCAAAAGTCCCTTCCTCCACTGAGTCCCCTCGGCAGCTCTCGACCTATTGCTCTATTGCTATGGCAGCACTTACCATTCCAGACCATAATAAACATGTTCGTGCTTACTTTCCCTCCCAGACACTGAACGACCATAAGTCTCTCGAGTGTCCATACCCCAGAACTTAGGCAGGAGTTTAACACTGACCAGAGGTCAACGAGCAAGTGACTGTGTGGGTGAACACCCCCGGCAGATCAAAGCCTGCCCTAGCACAGTAAGGGGCAGGGACTAAGAACATGTGCATTGTGGGCTGGTACTCAGTGGGGAAGGCGCTTGCCTCGCATTGACCCGGGTTTCATCCCCGGCACTCCGTACGGTTCCCTGCGCCCCGCCAGGAGTGAGCCCTAAGTACAGACCCAGAAGTAAGGCCCCGAGCACAGCCAGGTGTGGCGCCTAAACAAACAGAAAAACCCACATGGACATGGGAGGATGGGCCTGGGATTCAAATCTCCAGTGACTAACTCTACCATTGGGAATTCCTCACTGCCCCCTAAATCTGTTTCCTCAGCTCCAAAACAGAAATGGTGACACTTTCTCCACAGAGTTGCTATGAAGAATAAGGAGATAATGTATAATGTCTGCAGAGCAAAAGTTCATTTTATGAAGCTAGATTAACAATAATAAAGCTGCCAAGAGACAGATGGTGGTGGCTATTTCCAACACCTACTTAGCAGAGAAAAGCAATGACATGGTAACACAACATTTGGCCCAGTGGGATTACCACTTTGGTGTGGTGGGAGGGGGAGAAGGGGTTGCAATCATGGTGGAACAGAAGAATACTAACATTATCTTAAGCAGAGTGGTGGATACACGGGTGTTTGTTTATTATTAGCATTTACACTATAGGTGCCTGTTAAATGTGATCTTTTATATAAATATTACCAAATCAGCAAATTGGTTTTTTTTTGTTGTTCGTTTTGGGACCACACCTGGTGGTGCTCAGGGCTCACTACTAGCTCTGTGCACAAAGATCACTCCTGGTTCGGCTCTGGGAAGCAGGTGGGTGTCAGGGATTAAACTTGGGTCACTGTAAGGCAAGTGTCTTTCTCACTGTACAGGCGCTGGGGAAAAAATGCTGGATTTGTTGTTTGTTTTCTTCTTGTTGTTGTTGTTGTTTGTTTTCAAAAACAATTTTTTTGGTTTGTTTTTGGCTGAGCTCAGTCAGGGCTTACACCTGGGCTCTGTGCTCAGGGATCACTCTGGTGGGGCTCTACAAACTATAGAGGGAGCCGGGAATTGAACCTGGATTAGCTGTGTGCAAGGCAGTCCCCTTATCCGCTGTATTATTTCTCTGACCCCCCCAGCCCCCACAAATTTTAAGAGGTCACACTTGGTAATGCTGAGGGCAGCAGTATAAAGTGCAGGGGATTAAACTCAGGGCCTCAGATTAGCTAGGTATGTGATCTAACATCTATGTTATATCTAGATCTAAATTTATAAAATATATATTTTGCTGGGCTGGAGCTACAGCACAGCAGGTAGGGTGTTTGCCTTGCAAGCGTCCCACATGGCCGACCCGAGTTCGATTCCTCTGCCCCTCTTGGAGAGCCCGGCAAGCTACCGAGAGTATCTCGCCCACACGGCAAAGCCTGGCAAGCTCCCCGTGATGTATTCCATATGCCAAACACAGTAACAACAAGTCTCACGATGGAGACGTTACTGGGCCCGCTCGAGCAAATCAATGAATAATGGGAGGACAGTGACAGTGACTTATATTTTGCTGGAAGACAAGGGGTATTTGTCTCTCAGCCTATGGTGCTCACAGGTCACTCCTGGCGGTACTTGGGGAAATCAATGTGAAGCCCGGTATCAAGCTGAAGTTGACCACAATCAGGCACAAACCTTTTTTAATTTTTATTATTCTTTTTTTTTTTTTGCTTTTTGGATCACACTCGGTGATGCACAGGGGTTACTTCTGGCTTTGCACTTAGGAATTACTCCTGGCGGTGCTCAGGGGACCATATAGGATGCTGGGAATCGAACCTGGGTCTGCCACATGCAAGGCAAACGCCCTACCCGCTGTACTATTGCTCCAGCCCCACAAACTTTTTTCTGAGAGGGTGCACAATTGGCAGTTCCCAGGGCTCACATCTGGTTCTGTGCTCAGGGGACCATATGCAGTGTCAGGGATCAAACACAGGTCATTCACATACAGGGTAAGTATCCTACGCACTGTATGATCTCACACCAAAAGAGGCACCTTTACCCCTGTACTATGTCTCCAGATGCAACCAAGTATTTTTGCTGTGTTTCTGGGACCACACCTGGTGGCACTTGGGGAACCACGAGGTGCTGGGAAAGCAAACCAGGGGTTCCCACATTTCAGCCTTTGGAGCCCTCTCACCAGTCCTATACAAACAAAAAATATTCTTTTGGTTCGGGAATCACACCCAGTGGTTCCCATGAACTCCTCCCAGCTCAGGGGTAACTCCCTATGGTGGTCGAGGGGGCTATCTGGGGCTGGGAGTTGAACTTGGGGCTCCCATATGGAAAGAATATACTCCAACTTTCTGAGCCATTTCCCTGGCCTCCTACACAAAATCTTTAACGAAAGATATCACCATTGGTCTATTCTGTATAAAATTGTTCAGTCATTGTGTGTGTGTATGTATGGGTGTGTGTCTGTCTGCTCATCGTAAAGGATACAGTGTTTCCAGTGGGAAAAGGCCCTCCGCAGCTTCATCCTCCTGGCCAGTTCCTCTAGCAGAGCACGGTGGGCATACAAGCTCTCCCTCCGCTCCCAGGCCCACTGCCAATCACAGAAGTGTTTCTGAAGCAGTGTGACACGGTGGAATCGCTCAGCCATCTCTGCAGCAAGAAAATATCCTAAGTGCTGGTCCCAAACCAAAGACAAGTGATGAGCTGAAAACATCTTTTTTTTTTTTTTGCTTTTTGGGTCACACCTGGCGATGCACAGGGTTTATTCCTGGTTCACACACTCAGGTATTACTCCTCGCAGTGCTCAGGGGACCATATGGGATGCAGGGAATCGAACCCACGTTGGCCACGTGCAAGGCAAACGCCCTACCACTAGGCTATCACTCCAGCCCCTAGAAACATCTTTTAAGACAAGGTACATCCCATTAGGGCAGACAAGGGTACCATGGGATTCAAGGGTACTCTCAACAAAGATGCTGAGAATAAAAACCTTTTCGACCAGGAGGGTTAATAGGTATTCCTTAGCTACATTCTCTTCTCACCAAGGAAAAAGAAAGGATCAAGTTTTCTTTTTCTTTGCTTTTTTTTTTTCCTGGAGGGGTGGAAAGGGTACACCCAATGGTGCTTTGGGCTTACTCCTAGTTCTGTACTCAGGTATCACTCCTGGCAGTGCTCAGGGACCATATGCAGTGCCAGGATTAGTAAGGCCGTGCACACTGTCTATCTCCCTAGTCCCCTGCTTTTACTTTTTTATTGCTGTCTCCTGAAGAAGAGACTGGGGACTGAGGCAATGATATATAACTAAGTCCAAATTCAAGGGATTTTCTGAGCTTTGAACCAGGCAGATTCTAGCTGCTACCGGGAACACCTCTGAAAGCTAATTAACTATGGCGTTCATGAGTTGCATCCAGGAAGCAGAAGGTTCTGGAATTTGAATGCTGTAACGAAAGGGACTTTAGTCTGCAACTCATTGTGCTATATCACTAAATGACTTCACCTACCAGACTTAGGTAAAGCGATATTCATCCACTGTCGTCATTCAAAAATTGACATTCTAGCTCTTCGAAGGGAACGTTGGCAGCCTCGGAGATTTCTTGTAAGGATGCCTGGGTGAAAGCTGGAAAGCCTGATCCAGCAACTAGCATAGTGCTAGCTCAACTAACATCTACTCCGGTTCAGGAAATCTAGTATAGAAGCTGAAGAGATAGTGCAGTCATAGTATAGTCTATCCTTGCACATAGCGGACTCTGATTTGATCCCTGAGCACCACCAGGAATGATCTCTTAGCAAAGAGCCAGAAGTAAGCCCGGAGCACCATCAAGTATGGTCCCAAACAAAAATGAAAAAAAAAGAAATCAAGCATAAAAAAATATGCATGATCATGATCCATGTATGATTATTCTGACCTCCTGAACTCCACAAATTTCTATGCTATGGTATCATTCATAATAATCACAGTATTTAAAAAATATTGGGGGCCACACCCGGTAGTGCTCAGGGCTTATTCCTGGCTCTGCACTCAGGAATTACTCCTGGCATATGGGTTATCGAAGATCAAACCCAGGTCGGCTTCATGCATGGCAAATGCCCTACCTGCTGCACTATCTATCACTCCAGCCCTAATCACAGTATTGATAACATAATTTAAGAGTCCAGGGGCTGGAGCGATAGCACAGCAGATAGGGCATTTGCCTTCCACGCAGCCAACCTAGGTTCGATTCCCAGCATCCCATATTGTCCCTTGAGTACCGCCAGGAGTAATTCCTTAGTGCATGAGCCAGGAGTAACCCCTGTGCATTGCCAGGTGTGACCCAACAAACAAAAAAAAAAATAGTCCACTGAATAAAACAATATGTATAGACAAAAAGTCCAGAAGGTAATAATTTAAATGTGAACTTCGGGTCCTGTGTTTTCTGCCTTAATCTTTTCTCCAAATTCATGGTAACTTCTTGCCATCTCTTTCCTTAGTGCGGCACTGATTCAGGAGAGTAGGAACTGTCCATTCTCTTCCTGCTCACCTTTCCACTGCCTCTTCACCCTGCGGATCTGCAGGTGCTGGAGCCAGGCCTTCAGGGATTTCCACTTCAGCCAGTGCTGATGGTGCTTCACTGCCAAGATCAACTTCCGCCGCTGCCTCCAGACATGCAGCAGTTGTTCCTGCCACCGTGACCAAACCTGAATACCAGAGAAAAGACCCTGATCAAAAGAGAGGCAGGAAAACAGAGGAGAAGGCTGGGAAAGAGACAGACAGACAGACAGAGAGATGAGACCCGCTTGAAACAGTAATATCAGAGACAAAGAACTCCCCAAGCAGGAGTAGCTTAATGAGAAGTTTGGTGTCAAAGCATCTTTTTGTTGTTTTGCTTTGTTTTGGGGGGGGGCCACACCTAACAGTGCTCAGAGGGCATTCCTGGCTGGGCTCACAGCGCCAGTCAGGTGCCAGGGATTGAAGTGGGTAGGCTGAGTGCAAAGCAAATGCCTGCCAGGTATACTGGAACTGCCCAGAACTCCTTTTCTTAAACATGGAACACTTCCTTTCTTTCATCTCAGCTAACTATCAATCTTCCAGGCCAGAGTAATAGAACAGTGGGTAGGGCACGCAGCTGACCCATATTTGATTCATGGCACTACATATGACCCCCTGAGCCCACCAGAAATAATCCCTGAGCACAACAGAGCCAGGAGTCACACCTGAGTACTGGTAGGTGTGATGCCCTGCGCCCCCCCCAAAAAAAAAACCATAATGAGTTAAAATAGTGAGGAATATACAATATCTACATTCTCTGTGATTGGGTAGTTGTTAAAAAATAAAAAGCTTGGAGTCATAGCAATAACACAGTGGGTAGGGTGCTTGCCTTGCATGTAGCCAACCCAGGTTTAATCCCCGGCATCCTCTATGGTCCCCCAAGCATCACCAGGAGTGATTCTTGGGAACCAGGACTAAGCCCTGAGCACCACTGGGTGTGACCCAAAACCAAAAAAAAAAAAAAAACCCTAAAAAAATAAAAAAAGCTATGGGTTGGAGAGATAGCACAGTGGGTAGGACGATTACCTTGCACGGGGCTGATATGAGTTCAATCTCTGGTACCCAAACGGTTCCCCAAGCCCTGGCAGAAGTGTCCTTGGCACAGGGGTAGGAGTGAGCCCTGAACACCATTGGGTGTGGCCTTCCCCCTCCACCAAGTCAACCCTCACTACTGCTGAGAAAAGCTAACGGCCAAAGGCACCAGAATTGAGAGTTTGTCTACAAAACTAAGTTTACAAGGGATGAGGAGAGAAGAAGGAAGATGAAGGAGTGGGAGGGTCTTTGGTAGTGGTGGGGTATAGTGTTGGAACAATGTATGCCTAAAACTATCATTAACCGTATTGTTGTTCTTTGTGTGTGTGTGTCTGTTTTTCTGGGTGGGGGGTTGGGGGGAGAAACACAAGTGCCACCTGGCAATGCTCAGGAGTTACTCCTGGCTCTGAACTCAGGAATTACTCCTGATGGTGCTTGGGGGACCAAATGGGGTACTGGGGATCGAACCCAGGCTGGCCACATGCAAGGCAAACACACTACCCCCTATAGTATCTCTCTAGACCCCTCATTAACAGTACTGTAAATCATGGTTTTAACAATAAAAATGTGAGAATAGGGGCCAGAGCAATAGTAGAGCAGGTAATACGCTTGCCTTGCAAGACGCCAACCCGGGTTCAATCTCCAGCATCCCATATGTCCCCCGAGCTTCCAGAAGTAAGCCCTGAGCAACTCCCCAAAACAAACCCCCACAAAAGAGGGACTATAAAAGAAATGAAACAAAGCTCATTGGAGTCGCACACTTGGCCGCCACGCGCTCACTCTGTGCTTCTCCAGTTGTGCTTATATACCTGCTCACCAAGGGCTGCTCTCTCAGTTGACGCTTGCAAGTTATGGTTTTGCTGCTCTCCCAACTTGCACGTCCTGCTGTGGTGCCCGCCAGGAATCAAAGCCTTTTTTGTGGGGCTCACACACAGCTGGCGGGGGTGCTGCAGGGACTGCAGAAAGCAGAGCCACCAGGCTCATGTTCAGGGCATGTGGAATATTTGACCTGTAACTGTACACTTGCAAGGGAGGAGCCGTGAGTTTCTCTGCTGCTCTTCTCAGCCCTAAACCAGTTACTTTCAGGGGCTGGAGCGATAGTACCATGGGCAGGGTGCTTGCCTTGGATGTAGCCAACCCAGGTTTAATTCCCAGCATCATATAGGGTCCCCAAGTCTGTCAGAAGTGATCCTTGAGAACAGAGACTGGAGTAAGGCCTGAGCACTGGTGGGTGCATCCCCAAACCACTTCCCAAAAAACCAAACCAAACAAAACAAAAGCCAGTTATTTTCAAAAGCCAACAAATCAGCATTCCTTTCTGGACCACATGCTTTGCCATCCGATTAACTCTTGAGTAACCCCTTGTTTTCTTAACTCCTAAAAAAGAGCAACTTTCTAATTTCTCTTCTCCTAGGCAGGTTTTCTTGAACGTTCTCCCCTTCAGGCTTCATAAAGCTGCTGTATCAACACCATCAGGTTATCAAAATCTCCACACTGCTCAATCTGAAGGTAAAATCTCAGCCTTCACTTTCCCAGACCTAGCAGAGAACTCAGCAATCACACCCCTCATTCACCTGGTTTCAGGGATACCTTACATCTCTCTTTGAATCCCACTTCTGCACCTGAAGGCCTTGTTCTACCCTCTTCTTCTCTAGCTAAACATACTCTGGGCTTTCCCCCAGTCTCCGGCTTGAAATACCATCTGCATGCTGACATCCTCGTAAGTCATGATCTCTGGCCTCCACTGTCCTCAATTCTACATATATATCCAAGTGTCCTGACATTTCCTTATGAATATTCAAAAGGCCTAAGGGCCAGAGAGATAGTACAAGGGTTGAGGTGCTTGCCTTGCATATGGCTGACCCACTGAAATCCTCAGCACTGCCAAGGAGTCCCTTAGCAAAGTAAAAAGGCCCTGAGCACTGTTGCGTGCAGCTCAATCCTCCAAAATAGGCCTACTAGGTCCATCCTGACACCTCCCAAAATAAAATCCAAAAGTCAAGAGGCCTTTTGGGACAGAGGGGTGCCTTGCAAGCACAAGGCTACACACACATTCTGCACTGCCAGGCTGGGCCCAGGTAATCACAGGGAATAGTCACCTAGCACTGCCATGTAGGGCTTCTATTGTAACATCAAGAACAGTTCAGGATGAAGATACTGAATTTCTAGTCAACCCCACAAATCTGCTCTTGCTTTCTCCATCCTTTTCAGTGCAGTAACTGTTTCAGTTGCTTTACTGGTTTTGTTTTTAGGCCACACCCGGCTGTGCTCAGGGCTTACTCCTGGTTCTGTGCTCAGGGGTTACTCCTGGCAGGGTTGGGGGATCAGGATTGAGCCTGGGTTGGCCAAGGAAAAGCGCCTTACCCGCTGTACTATCTCTCCAGGCTCGAGTTAAATTTTAAGTCAAAAGTCTCTAAGTCAGGGGAAAGGGGTAGGGGGATGGAGTATGGAAACACGGGTAGAGGGAAGTCGACACTGGTGGTGAGATTGGTGTTGAAATACCTTGGGGCCACAGAGATAGTACAGAAGGTAGGGTATTTGCCATGTATGTAGCTGACCGGGTTGATCCCAGCATTCCATATAGTCCTTCAAGCACCGCCAAGAGTAATTCCTGATGGTTGAGCCAGGAGTAACCCCTGAGCATTGCTGGGTGTGGCCCCAGACCACCCCCCACACACCAAATTATATGATTAAACTCAGGTATCAATTCACTTATAAATCACGTTTAATTTTTTTTCATCTGTGTCATCTTGAACTTTCTCTGACAACTTACCTCTTACCTATCCATTAGCATATCTGATTGAAATGTCTTCAAAATATGTCCAGAAAAGTAATTCCAGAATCAAAAATCATCTTATTAGTATTATCCAAAATCTCACTGGGAATTTTCTAACTGCTGTCATGTTTATCCTTGATCTTGCATTGAGCTATCTCTCTGGCCCCTCATGATTCTTTCTGATGCTCAAACTATACTATCTTTTTCATTGTTTGGGGGTCACAACAGAAATACTCCTGGCTCTGCACTCAGGAATTACTCACAGTGGTGCTCAGGGGGCCAATCTGGATATCAGGAATCAAACCCTGGTCGTGCAAGCAAGCAACATACCTGCTGTAATATCTCTCCAGCCGCTAACTTATGTTTTTAACTGGAGGGAATTGGGGTCATATCCAGTGGTGCTCAGGAATCACTCCTGGTTGTGCTCAGGAAGACAATATGTAATATCAGGAATCAAACCTGGGTCAACTACCTGAAAGGTACATCTTAACCTCTATAACATCTCTCACTCACTCCCACCCCCCATCTATTGGATTTTAAAGCTTCTTGAAGAAATTTGTTGGTAGTAGTAGTATTTTGGTAGTCATTACTACAAGTTTTACATATTCCAGTGTATTTTAAAATTCCAGGGATTGAGCTCAGTAGGCTGAACGTGCATTTCACGTGTCAGGACCCAAGTTCTATCCCAGACACCAGACTGAAGCAGGCAGGTAGGGAAAGGGCCCCCACCCTCAGGCGATGAGTTCTTGGGATGTAATAAAACTAAGAGATGGGATTTGAAGAAGTTTCTCTGTCACTAGCCCTAAGGCTGCCAGGACCCTCTTTGTGGACACAGAAACTAAGGCCTAATAGGACCTTTTCCTGGTGTCAGCATAGACTCAGAGAAGGCTGCATCCCCTCCCCTGACCCCTCACCCCTCCACTCTCCCTGCAGAAGTAGTTCCAGCAGGAACAAAGGCCAGGGAAGGAGTATCAAAGAAGACCATCACCTACTCCCAACTCTATGCCTTGGCAACCACCCTAGCAACTGGATTCCGGCCTAGGTAGAAAGCCCCACGTGGAGAGGAAACCCTATAAAAGCCAAGTTGAACAAAGGAAGCGCAGCCCTGTGGTCCCGAGCCCAGGTGCTGCCCAAACACTTGCATCGCCCACATCTCCCTTCTTCAGATGTGGTCCATCACATCTGGATGCTAGGAAGTACTGGGGCTCTCTCTCCACCCTGGAGAAGCCCACGTTCTCCCTCTCCCTCTCCCCTTCCTCAAAACTTCCAAATAAAGCCTGGTTTTACTTCACTGCTCATCTCCTGAAATTCTTCTCTGGGAGAAAGGTTAGGTTAGGTTAG